CCGTTTCTGTTTGCTCGCCGCCGCTTATACTTCTACGTTTTGTTAACGTGATGACTTGGTCGAGGTCTATGCTAAGTCAGCGTTTCAAAGTTAGGGGAAGGAATCTGAACATTTCATTTTGTAATTGGATCGTTGAGCTGTACCTGTACTTATCGAGTTTTGCCGGGATTTGGTCTAGTTGATACGCTGTTGGAGTATCATAACCTGCTTTCTGGTTTCTGATATTTTGATTATTTTGCACTTGCTTGTATATTTGGATTAATTGCTGAGATACTCTATGCCATTGCTAAAGGGTTATGGAGCTCAATCTGCTGAAGAGAAGCAGAGGCTTTTTAAGCTAATGAGAAATCTTAATTTCAATGGAGAATCTGGCTCTGATCCTTACACACCGACTGCACAAGCTTCAACTGCTGCAGCATCAGATGGGTTTTATTCCCCTGACTTCAGGGGGGATTTTGGAGCTGGCCTTTTGGACCTTCACGCAATGGACGATACTGAGCTTCTGTCTGAGGTACCATTTGTTATTGAATGGGGTAATCTTCGATTGTTTGTATTTGTTTGCTTTTCCTAATGAATTGTTATTGTGTGGTTCTTATCTTTGTTGCAGCATGTTATGACAGAACCTTTTGACACATCACCGATCATGCCTGATATTGGCCAAGGATTCGAGAATGAACTCAACATGGCTAGTCGTAGGTATCAAAGTGAGCAAACTGATGCAGAACCATCAGTATCATTCCCTGTCAGTGAAAAAGAAAACAGTGGGAGGGAAAGTAACGTGGCTAAGATTAAAGTTGTGGTGAGTTTGACTTATCAGTAGCTCCTTCTCTTAGTCTCTATCTATCTCTTACTAGACTTGCACACACCTAGACAAACATTCGATCCATCCTTACTGTGTTGTTTTGTTATGCCTCCTTGTTGGTCATGTAGAGTGCGAACAAATCAATAGTTTACATCCTCTCCTTTTTGAATTTGTCATTTGCTTCACCATTAACATCTTGAAGAAGAGACTTGGAAGCCTCTCTATGATACTCTCATGTTCATTGTGCGGTAAAGACTTTGAAGGATATGTGAAGAATCATGTTCACCAGCTGAACTTTGCTTTCTGTTTCTTACATTTTCAGTGGCATTGAGTTATGCCAAATGTGAACTGATTAGTGCATGTTTTTTCTTCTTTTTTTTCCCTTGATAACTTTTGTTTGCTGACAAGTTATGATTCTGTTATGAAGGTCATGACATTGTTCTGATTACTGTTCGGCAGGTGCGTAAAAGACCACTAAACAAAAAGGAGCTTGCTAAGAAAGAGGATGACGTTGTGTCTGTTGCAGACAATTCCTTGACTGTCCATGAACCCAAACTAAAGGTTTGCCCCTCGGCTAATATTGTTTTCCAAACCACTTCAGATTCTTTTGTTCTGAAGGGGGAAGATTGCAATGGTAGTAGCGTTGTATTTCATCTTTCAGATTGCACTTTATCTTTCAGCTAAAAGACTTGACCATCTATTTTGATTTGAAGGTGGACTTGACAGCATATGTGGAGAAGCATGAATTCTGTTTTGATGCTGTTCTTGATGAGGATGTTAACAATGATAAGGTAATGACTCTTCTCTTAGAGATAGACGTCGATGTTTTTGGTTCCAGTGTTTCACTTTACTTGCAAGAACTGTATTCATTGAGGCTATTAGGAAAATGCTAGTTACTAGTGAACTAAAGAGCATGATGGTGTGATTAAGGCACAATAGCTTGACAAATTTGTTATCAAATCAATCTTTTAGTATTTATGATCTAGAGGTCAAATGTGTTTTACAGGTGTACCGGGAAACCGTCGAGCCCATAATTCCCACAATATTCGAGAAGACGAAAGCTACTTGTTTTGCATATGGCCAAACAGGTACTGTTTTTTATTAGTATATGTCTTTTTGGACACAAACTGCATCATATGTATCTTTATAATTGATCTAGGATAATATATTTGGTTCAGATATATACATAGATGGGGCAAAAGCTGGTGTTAGGAGCAATGTCATTTCTATAAGAGAGTCGTCTCTAAACTTGCTGAGACTTTCACTTTAGGATCTGTTAAGCTTAGGTTGTATTATATTATAGTTTTCTTTTTCTTACAAAGGTTTGTAGTTCAAATGGCGTCATATATAACATCATATGAATAACAATCTTATCAGGTAGTGGAAAGACTTACACGATGCAACCTTTGCCTCTTAGAGCTGCTCAAGACATGGTTAGATTACTGTACCAGCCAGTTTACCGGTCCCAGAGGTTCAAATTGTGGCTCAGTTATTTTGAAATTTATGGAGGGAAGCTCTATGATCTTCTTTCTGAAAGAAAGTGAGTATTTCTTGGAGGTGTAATCCCATTCTCATATTCACCTTAATGCCATATAGAAGATAATTGAAATGGCCTTTAAATCACGCGACCAGATGACAAGGGTTGTGATGTTCATACTAATTTGTTCTATTATATATGTATCTTGAACTGCTTACATAATGCTTGTGGTTTCCCTCGTTGCCAAATAGGAAGCTCTGTATGAGAGAAGATGGCAGACAACAGGTTTGCATTGTTGGTCTACAAGAATTCGAGGTCTTGGATGTCCAAATAGTCAAGGAGTACATTGAGAAGGGAAATGCTTCCAGAAGCACAGGATCGACAGGTGCCAATGAGGAATCTTCAAGATCACATGCTATATTGCAACTTGCTATCAAGAAGCATAAAGAGGTAAAAGAACCTAGAAGGAACACCAACAACAACATTGATGTTAATGATCCAAAAAATGGGAAGTTGGTTGGCAAAATCTCGTTTATCGATCTTGCTGGTAGTGAACGAGGAGCAGACACCACAGATAATGACAGACAGACACGGTACTATTCTGTTCTTGCTTCACCTTTTCATCTTGCTTTGGTTTCGTATGTTTCATCCTGGTTAACTTATAATAATGTTTTGATTAAATTGCAGGATTGAAGGTGCAGAAATTAACAAGAGCCTTCTGGCTCTTAAAGAGTGCATTCGTGCACTCGACAATGAACAGATCCATATACCTTTCCGTGGGAGCAAGCTCACTGAAGTACTTCGCGATTCCTTTGTTGGTAACTCGAGGACAGTTATGATATCGTGTATTTCTCCAAATGCTGGTTCCTGTGAACACACGTTGAATACACTGAGATATGCTGATAGGTAAGTGAAAACTCTTTATTGCTTGCGCGAAGTAAGATATAATAATCTCAATTGAATGGTCTAATAATAATGTCATTGAATGAACAGGGTCAAAAGCCTTTCCAAAAGTGGCAATACGAAAAAGGATCAACCTGTAAATTCATCGACTAACAAGGACATGCCATCAGCATCATCTTTGGCTGTTCCCACAGACACAGACGACATGTTTGAACAAAGAGAAGAGGCAAAACCGGTGGATATGGTGAGAAGACACATAGAGAAAGATGATCATGATAGGCAGCCGTCGAGTTTCCCTTCAAGTTACAACTTCAATGGCCGGCAGCAAGAAAGTGGATCAACTTCCAGCTTAACTGACCGGGAGAGGATTGAATTTAACAATTCCTCCGGCGGTCAACCAAATGCAAAAAGCTATACATCATACTCCCAGCCCCCAGCCGAACCTGAAGAAAAAGTGCAGAAGGTGTCACCGCCTCGTAGAAAGGGACCCTCGAGGGAGGAGAAGGCCGACAAGTCTACAAATTGGGGGAAGAAAGATAGCGGTGGTACATCTGATGTTGTACCTACCACTGTAAATTCCAAGAAAGATAGCAGTAGTACAGCAAACCTCCCCACAATTGGACGAAGACATCGAGAATCTGATCCTTCTTCAGATGGGAGTATCAATGCTATACTCGAGGTGAGCAGATGAATTCCTGGTTTTTGTTTACTTGCATTTTTGCTTAGCGTCTTCATCTTCTAGTTCTTAATTCTTACATTTGGCCTGTTTTAGGAAGAAGAGGCTCTAATTGCTGCACATAGGAAAGAGATTGAGGATACAATGGAGATCGTGCGTGAGGTAAGTGATGATTTGTCATATGTCATCATGCAGCCTTTTCTTTGCTTAGGGATTAAGGTTTTTCCCCCCAAAACAAACACCTTATTGTTCCACTCCCGTCTCATTCACCTGCTTGGGATACTACTACTTAGGAAATGAAGCTTTTGGCAGAAGTTGACCAGCCAGGCAGCCTCATAGACAATTACGTAACTCAGCTGAGCTTCGTTCTCTCACGTAAGGCCGCCGGCCTGGTTAGCCTCCAAGCTCGCCTCGCTAGGTTCCAGCATCGGCTGAAGGAGCAGGAGATCCTCAGTCGCAAACGAGTTCCTCGCTAGAGACGCAGTACCCTGTTTGGTGTGTGATCTGAATTCTTGTCTCTCGTAAGTTCCATCAAGTACATATACAATCCCGAGCTCCAACACCATTTTCTTTATTCCCCCCACATTCTCTTTTTGGCTTAATCAACACTTCAATGTTGCAGGAGCGGACTCGGAGCATCACTTGCGGTGCTTACTCGGGGAATCTGACGCGCGGGCAGCAGGAATGGCGTGGTGTTCCTTTTGTTGGTGGGATGGTTGTGGTTGCAAATGTATCATTCAGAACAGGCTGGATGCTGGCGTTGTTGCTAAGTTGGTTTTTTGTTTTTCTGGGTTTCGTCGTCTTGGGATGTTTGAAGGGTGAATGAAAAGGGGAAGGAAAGAAGGGGGGAAAACACAGAAACAGTGGATTCTTGTGTAAGCAAAGTGAAATGAAAAAGGAAAAGAAAATTGCTCAATAGGTGATATACACTTTTACTTGAAAGTAAACTTGCATTTGTTCATAATATATCTTACCTTCAATTCTCACCTTGTGTATTTTTTTTCTTCCATACTGGACATCCAATTTGAACCATGAACTGTAAAATTGTACCTATAAGTCCGGAAATTTTGTGAAAATTTTGTGCTAAAACTGTTATTATTTGAGGTTCAATCAGCTCGCTAAATCGTCTACCTGGTTGAACTCCAAGATTCTATTTTTCCTATTACACTGTCGAAACACGAAACGATATGGTATCGTTTTACAAACACGTCAACTCCATAGATGATCCATTTTTTCTTGATCAAAATTACAAACCAATGACGGGCAAATGGGATTGACAGCTCTCCAAAAATTACCATTGAAAGTTTGAAATAAAAACAATCAACAGAATGAAGAAACAAAAAAGAATCTGCATATTATATAGACGCCCCAAAAAAGATTCAAAAGAGGGAGTGAAAGAGTTTATAGAACTAAGTACTACTCTAGCGTTTGGCAGGGATTTAATAGGCACCAGAAAACAACATTACCACTTCTCACAAACGGTCTGCAACCATATCTTGCCTTGCAACGGAATACGAATCCGAACTAGATCGCTACTACCCATTCGGGCGGCGATAATCTGTGTAACCAAACAAGGTTGTTGGCCGGGGGAGTATTCACACGCTGGTCCTAGGGCACTTCCGTTGATACCTGAAAGTGCATGGAAGACCTACTATTTGCACACTTTGCGATAAAACTCGTCTCTTAAGTTATGATGCCGCCTGTCGCATTCTCATTGGCTGTCGCTCGTGTTTGCTGACCTCATCAGTCGGCCTTCAGTCTAAGGATCTCCTTGGCAGTCCTCAGCCGGAAGTACGGCATGTTTTCCTGGGAAGAAGTAACAGAAGATAAGCTTGGAGATGCTACAAAAGTGGCAGGTTGATTGTATTCATAATATGCTGAGAGCCTGAGACAGTCTCTTTATTACCTGGGAAAAACAAAGGCCTAAGCCTCTGCTATAAAAATCGGCATATTTTATCATGAACATTCCACAGTCGTACCTGTTTGTCGCAAGAGAAAGAAAGGGATCTTAGACCAGTTTAGAGACCAGATTTTTCGGGTGCCAATGAGATTCTGAGCTATAAATACCCGTTTAGCTGTTCCGGCAGGTCTTCAGGGAACTCGTATTCCCATTCACTTAAGTCAATGTCTACTTTGCTCTTGTCCTTCACTTCATCAACATAATATCTAGCCTGCACAAGGTCATAAATGTCAGTCTATTATCGCAAAGTGTACACAAAGAGTTTGCTGGAAATTATCCTAACCTACCAGATTTTTCAGCACGTGCAAGTCCCTCCCTTTGAGTGAATCTAGATACTGAAATTTCCGGTCCCTTTTATTAATAATGGCCAAGCACCAGTGAATTTCTCGATGAATGGGGATAAATATCTGTCAATTAGAAAAATCAACCCAAGCGAAAGGTAACTAATTAAGTGCTATCGGAGCACATGAGACTATGCAAAGCAAAATAGAGAGTTGAGTTCTGTAGTCAACTTACTTTTTCACAGTCGACCAGCATGTAACCCAATTTCCGTTCTGTAGTCCACCTTTTCACAGCTCTATAGTCATACACTTTCTTATCACCACCTAGTAACTGGACATGATGCACATTCCACAAACAAAAGAAGACAGAACCTGCATAAGTGATAACTGATAATATACACTAAATTTACTACAACCAGAAGAAGCAATGTAAGCAAAGGGAATGTTGAATGGTTGAATATCGTGAAACAATGGATAAAACGAACATAAGGTATAATTAAGCATTGAGGAGTCGAAACCTATGTGTAAGAATACTACTAGTACATGTGGAGAAAAGACAATATAAATGTTTATCAGGCATTGAATAGCAGAAGTTTAGGTGATTCTGATACTAGTAAGTAACTTGGGACAGATCCAGTTGCTTCAAAATGATGCCAATAAGGGGAAAAGAAGACGGCAAATGCCTGATCATTTAACCACAAGATAGTGCTTTTGCAGCCTATATGCTGTTTTCCCCCTAGTAGAAAGACATTCTCCCCATGTTCTGATAATCGAGTACAAGGATCTAAAGCACAAACCTTTTTGTAGAAAAAGGTGTTACAGAAATGACATTTCAGAAATTTTGGTGGCTCTCGCTTCTCCCTTTCTTTCAACAACTCCAGGTAGACGTTGATGACCTGCAAAAGAGAAAGTTGATATAATGTATATAAGCCTCCTAAGAACACAAGAACAAACTACCTGATAAGGATTAAATCATACCTCATCATTTAACCAGGCACCTGGTGAGAGGCACTGCAATACCTCTCCTGTGATGTCAATGCCTGAATTAGTGTGAGCAACTAAGAGCTTCCTCCTATCATAAAAAATGGAAACGAAGTTAGGGCACCCCCCAGATCATGAAATATCAAAAGGAACAAAAGATCAATAGGGTACCTGTTGTTAGGTAAGAGTGCACGCTTCACTTCAGTTTCTTCCTCCTTCGTAAGGGGTATAAAAGGTTCACGAGGTGTCTCCTGAAATGGCAAAAATGTTACTTAAACAACATAAGCAACATTTGCAGTAAGATTCAGCAAGTATTTACAGGCTCTCTCTGAAAGAAAGACAGAGTTCAAGTATTTCACGAGCAGCACTCTGAAGATCCGAAAAACAATCATCATGGCAAAAGATTGACAAACTGACCTGAACAGGTTTTTCCAACGGCTTTCTCATAGACCGTAAGACTTGCAATGAAGCTCTCTTCTTCTCATAGTATTCAATCTGAGGCTGCAACACATTTGGGTCTCTCCTCTGGGCACCATCCAAGAGTTTCCTATACACCTCAACGGACAAACCACTTCGGTCCAAAGCCAAAGAATCCACCATCTCCCTAGTCTTCTCCACCGACAAATTTCGTTCTGGAGTAACCACATACCGCTCTTCCACAATCCTAACATCATCATTCTCCTGCTCATTCACTGGCTCATCCAAAACCATAGACCTAACACCATTTTCATCATTGTCATCAGTGACCTGAACTTCTTCCATACTTGAATCATCAGACAGCAAGACATGGTTACTCGGCTTCACAGGTTGCTCATCCACTTTAGGTAGTTCCTTGTCTACCCCAATAAACCTAAGAGCTCCAACTGCCGCTCTCCTCGCATAATCGAACACGGAAGACAACATCTCGACCTTCCCCACACCACCAGATTTACCCCGAGGAGCGCCCAACCCGTATTTCAAAATCCTACAAGGGGCGTGGACTTCCCGGGGCAGCTTCGTCGTCCTCTCAGGGTACCGGAAAAGTTTGTCGACGGTACTATTGAAAGTCACCGTTGCCCGTCCTGGGGCGTGACGCGCGGGCGAAATTCTGGGTCTCTTCGATGTCGGAAAAGAATCCGGGGAGAACGACGGCGCGAAGGAAGAGTACAAATCCCGCTTCCTATCACCGCCACTCACGTAGCCCATCGTTGGCATCCCAATATCATAAAAGCCCTCGGAATCTCAAAATCCCATCTACATAAATTCATTTCCCGGGGGAAAACATTACAGCTAGGGTTCCCCCCGGAAACCCGAGAAGAAGAGAAAGCAGCCCAAACCCTACGGAGAGCGAGCGCGAGATTCACACCAAGTTCGGAACTTTGCTAGGTTTCCGTGGGAAATCAAAGATTAGACGAATACCTCATCCGCCGGCTACCGCTATTGATCTGAAGCAAATGAAGGAAGGGAGGAACAATGGCGAAAGCTGCCTCCTTTTTTAGGTTTTCGTTTTCGGCTTTCGGCGTTTTCTTCTCCTCCGGCCACAAGCAAAGCTTACGTCAATACGTCGCGAGTCTCTCTGCTTTTAATTCGGATATACTTTTTGGTTTCCTTTTTCGATTTTCCCCCATTTTTTCCTGGACCGGATTCGAAAGCGTTTTTTATCATTTTATGCAGGGTTGTCTCAAAGAATCAAACAAACGAGTTCATACTATTTCTCGGTGTGGTAAGTGGTATGGTTTAAGTGGTATGGACTTTAAATATATATTAGCTTTTTACCCGACCAGTTGGTCGGATGAATTTAGTTTTATTTATTATATTTTATATTAATCTATTTTTTCATATTTTCAAATAATTTGGGATCGTCTAAATAATTTATTAGTGGGTTTTTTTTTGGTGAATTTATTAGTGGGTTGAAACTAATATTTGTGCGAATTATTGATTGTAACATTAGTTAGTTTATAAGTACTTGTATTGATCATGCTATCGCTTACTGTTGTCTATATATTTTTTACATTTAAGAAAAAAATCACTTCCTATTGTTAGAATAAATTACTTAAAAAATATTTCTTCATAAAATTTGATATTATTCACTTATTTTCTATTATATCCATGAAAATAAAATAATTAAGCATTGAAGTATTAATTATAAACTCCAAGGGATTTTCCCTATTAGTAATTTGGAGGGATAAAAATTTATCAAATAAAGGATTCAAATTTTATGGTCGACCACCATTAGGTACTAATTGAGAAAATACAAAATTATTAACTAATAATTCACTTTTAAATAATATATATCTCCAAAAGCAGTTGTGGTTGTTAATAGCTAACATTAATGTATACGGATAGTACAATTGTATTATAATGGACATATCTGAAATATTCCAATTATTTCTTCAAAATTTTAATTAAATAAGGCACTCTATAGTTCAAACATACAATCATTTGTTGTGAAAATTAAGTTTCTGAAAAAGATTCATGATTTTAGGAAATCAATATGGATTTTTTTATAATTGATTTTGGTGTTGCCTTTGTCGAAAATTTGTGTGCCCATAAATTTGTATAGCATATTAGGTTTAGAGTATCCACAAATATTAGTACGCTTTCAACAATTATGTTTATAGTTACACGTATACTAACATTATGAAGTGAAAATTTACAACAATAAATAAATATAATAAAGAAAATTAATTAAAAAGAATACCATCCGTAAAGCTCAAGAATGATTGTGAATTAGTTGGTAATCTATTATCCTCTTGCAAAAAAATGGACAATTACATTATTCTCATCGCTATTTTTGGAAGGTCAGATGATCAACAATAAAAGTCGGGGAATTTCAAGAAGATTCCCAAAGATGTTTCCCTCCCTCCAGGCAAATGATCGACTTTGCTTTTGCTAGTAGAGAATGGAGCTGTTATACCTGCATAAAACAATGTCTCTTGAAATAGTGTTTATTTTCAACAACTTGCACAATTCCAAATTGATTCATAGGTCAACGCGATCACATATTTTATTGACTTATCTGTTGATCATTATAATTAGAAGCAACAAATAAAATGAAAAGCATAGTGATAAAGATGACTATTAATACCATAGACCGATAGACGCATCCCTCTTCGCTACTTTCTGTTGGCAACTATGGAAAAATAGAAACCTCTGGGCCTTCGAGAGACTATTGGCGCCGGCAACCCAGTTAGCCTACCAAATCCGGAAAATGCGAGTGCAGATTGATCAATCTTCCAGGAGGATTGGGCAGGTTCTCGGGGAGGCTACAGAGCGGGTGGAAAGGGGAAATAGAATAGGGTTTGAGATTTTCACAAAAAGGCTACAATTTCCCCTTTATTAGTTGTTCTGGGCGTCGCCCACCAAAGTGAAAACGCGTCTCCGAGTGCCCAGGTGGTGCCTAGATCAATCGCCCAGAGCTAGACTGGGCGATTTCCTCCTGCCCAGCTATTAATCGCGCCTAGGCGAGAGATTAATCGCGTCTTCTTGAACACTGAATAAAAGTGGACCAAACAAAGACATTACATCCAACTCATTTCAGTTTCATCTTAACACAGTATCGGAGGCATGTACTATTATTATACAAATGATCTTACGCTCGCAATTAGGAACTAAACGAAGGTTAAATGCTTGATTGGCAAACTAAATCGATGAACCTAGTGATCTTAAAGAAAAAATTAATGATCACATGATTTCTTGGACCAAACTACTAAAGGAAAAAAAAAGAAAAAAGAGACCGTACATTAGCATAAGAACTCAACAAATTACTTATAAGAACTAATGATATAAGGAAAATGTAAACTCAAACCGTTCTTCCGAAGGTCATGGATTAAATCATTAGTTGTCGATTACATAGCCTAAACTGCAAGTTATATCCAAAATAAAGGCAATTTAGAAACAAAAAAGTTAGATAAGAAAGCCGTGAAACACAGAAAAATTGAGTGAACAAAGTGGGAAGTATTGCTTTCAATTAAGCTTGATTATGTTGACATAAAGCAGGCACACATTGACGTTGGAAACCTAAACAAAATGCTCAAAAAGTGGCAAGAGAATTCTTCCCTTGAGGTTCAAATATAGCCTACCTATATGAGTAGAGCCAAGTAATTACCATGATTCCATTTTACACATACCATCTCACAACCAACTGCTGCTAATGCTCTGGTCCGTTCCAAACCTCACCTGCTCATATCTCCAATACCATATCACGAAACCAAGAATTATACACAACTAAAAGATCCAATAAGGAGAGTAACTTAGCATGGAACTTTGTGATGGGGGCAGATTCTATGGTCAGTATTAAGCTGTGCAAATTATATCACCTCTGCAAAGCTCACTACTTCCAGTAGTTTCTCACAGAACCAGCTACCGTCCTAATCCCTTCCTTCCTTCCTTCCCATGTGAAAAATGGCGTCCATCTCCGCCACAACCACAGCTTCTTCCTTCATCCATGCATCTCTCCGTCGCAACCCCTCTCTAGGGGTTTCCTCCGCCCCAGTTCTCGGTGAGTACTCTTGACGCCCCCTCCCCTGAAATTCACAATTACCTCTGGCTTTTATCAATTCAGCTTGGGGGAACCAAGAAATTGAATCGATTGGGTGATATGCAGGGCTGCCGTCGATGGCGAAGAGAGGGAGAGTGGTGAAGTGCTCGGCGGAAGGAAACGGAAGCAACGGCAACGGGTGGGATAAGAAGGGGATGATGAGCGCTTCGCTGATGGTGGCGGTGGCCGCACCAGCTGCATCGAGCCCAGCGGCGATGGCTCCTCAACGGATGCGAGTAGCTGGAGCGATTTGTAGCGACCTTCTAGAGGTTGAAGCAGAGAAGAAAGAAGAAGTAGGGTTCGTGGCGGCGGGGGAGACGGTGGTGGCGGCGGCGGCGGCAGTAGTTGTGCTTCTCGTCGGAAGGGAAAGCCTCGATCGTCGACAACCTCTTCGCCACGGAGATCGTTCGCTGCACTCCCAAACGCGATCTCCTCAGTCGCAGCAGAAGCGGGACGTCACTGCTTTCCGCCACTGACCACCAAAACGTCTGGTCGTCTTCCCATGAACTCAGCAACAGCCGGCCGTCAGCGCCTTCCTCCGTTGAACACGAAACCGTGACGCCTCTTACCAGAATTTTCCGATGGAAACTGATTCTCCTCCTGTCCTGCGGGTAGGCGAAAGGATAATCCAGTAGAAAAGGTGGTATTTCAGCCAAACGAAAATTAAATGAAAAATAAATGATAACGTGGGAAACCAGGAGAAAAAGGTGGGTAGTGGACGATTCTTAGTTCTGCAATCTGGCGGGGAGTTCTATTTTTTTCCCGCTCAACACCCTGCCACATCAGCTTCCTAAAATCACTCTATGGACAGGAAAATTTGAATGGGGGTGGCAGTTTTACTTTTCAGCTATAAATTATACTGTTGATACATATTTGAAAAATAATTTCTATAAAATAAATTTATATTTAAATAAAAATACAACATTCTAAACCCAATGAAAAATTCTCACATTCAAATACAATATTTAACATCAATATCCAAAAATTTATAATTGAATACAACAAATAACATAAACATCTAAACATTCATACTTGAATCCAAAAAATAACATCATCATTTAACTTTTAATTCAAGAAACAAATCACAATACCTTTTTATCAATTAAATTCACTAAAACTGTGTCATTTTGTTTAAACGTTGAAAATTGATCATGTCGGTCATACCATAGTCATTCCATCCGATTTTATAACTGTTACTAGTTGAATCTGGTTCTACCGGCAGACATGTAATCGACATGACAATCATGTTTTATGCGTTGGAGTTCGACGTTTTTGCTACTGAGCAAGGAGTGTATGTTTACAAAATATAAATAACTATTAAAAAATAATAGTGTGCTAATACGATATACAAGTGGTCAGCAGTTGGTTTAACCGGCAACCGACTATAAATATATCGAGATATCCCAAATGGCAGTCGCCAATCGGTACAGAGTGATAGTCGACTTACCGTTTACCGACTTATTCATTCTCGATAAAATTCAAACAAAACCTAAAATATCGTTTGGTTAGACGAGAAACTGGTCTTATATATTTTCACATATTTCGTGCAAAAATAAACTCCCATCATGAGATTGAACCAAATACCTCATGTTTAATAGTTTGCTTTATACACCAATAGGATACAAGAAACTTCATTATACATATTAATCTTATATATTATATAGCTAATGTTATATTTTACATAAATCATTGCAAATATTAATAAAATTTATTTTATATATTTTTATTTTTTAAGTATCCAATTTTTTACTATTAGTTACCATTTTTTTGTGTGTGTAAATAACTCTTTAATTGCTTCTTTCTAAGTAACCTATTTGATATGAATTATTTCTAGTTTTCTCATATACTCTATTTACAATGAAATAAACTGATTTTACTACCAATCAATACCATTTTACTTGTCAAACCCAACGGTAGAATCCGTTTCCACAAACCTTGCCCAGACATAGGGTCTCGATCCGGTCAGTAACCTTATGTTGAGTAATGGTGAGTAACTCGTCCACATCAGCATGACATCAACATCCTTTCTCGTATGGAAAGTTTTTAATCTTTTTTCTTTTAATATTCAACGAACGATTT